TTTGAATTTGAAAAATTACAATCTTGAAGAACTATAGCCCCCCGAGTTCGCTCTCCAACATACTTTGAATTGCTTTAATTTGATATTGGGAGAGAAATATATGTTGAAAATACTGATTACTACTCAGAGAAAGATTGCTGGCCACCCTCTAGGTGCTTCAACGTCCAAAATATAACCTTGGCCGCTAGATAGGTGCTTGCCTAGTGCTCGAGCGGCTATGTTATGTGCCCAAACCCTAGATCACGATTTACAATCCCAAACAACTTTAAACACTTCATATCATATATATATTCAAGCCACAATTCATCCCAAACCATCTCTGATTTGGCTCATTTAGCCATTATGCATTAAAAAGAACATCCTACAAAGATCAAACAACAATTCCATAATTCACTTGATTCAATCAAAAAAATCAAAGACCAAAAACACTCACCTTTACCTAAAAGCCTTCAAAATTCTAAAGTTGGAGAAGAAGCGTTTGGAGTTTTAACGCTCTAAAACGAGTTCGTTCTTGGTAATCTGTGGAGAGAAAAGTAGTTCAGAGTTCTAGAAAGTACGGGTCTCACAATCGAAGATTTATTCGGTAGTTTACAAGTTGGGTGGTCAAAGTCAGCTACGGTGTATAATGTCCGAACCAATTGTAAGTTAACGTTTTTAGTGGATCTTTTTGGCAAAGTTTGCCCTAAGGTTTTTGGTATTTGTGAAGAGTTCTCAAAGGAATTTCCCACCGTTATCAAATTCTGGTTTTATTTATTATTTTTTTTTTACTTTTTATTGCTTTCATTTGAATGTTTATGTGATTGTTAAATTAATGTTTAGTTGGATTAATTACCTTAATCATCTAGAACTAATAAATGGTGACCTGGTGTTTTTTATTGTTGATAGTTTTAATTTCGCATATGTTTAAAGAAAGTGATATAAATATTTCCTACCAAGTGGTGCTAGAGTTTAATTGCAATCAGTGACCAATTTGTTGTCTAGATGAGTCAATCACATTTTGATCAAAGAGTTAAGGATGATATGGATATTCATGAGGCTTATGACCGAGTATAAGAAGAGTATCAAGTTATATAAGGTTAATAGATTGGTCTTTAAGAAATTGAATGATCTTGAATTGGAAAATGAGAGATTTATGGTCAAACTTGAGGAGTCTACTATAGTCTGGATGAGTTGAGAGTTGAGAAAGAGTCCTTAGAAGTTAAGGTCAAGACTCTTATGAGTGATTTTGACAAATCAAATACCAACTTTCAATCTTTCTCTAGCCAATCTAAGAAGATTGATAACATGGTAGATTTCAACAAAACAGCTAGGAATAGAGAGGTTTAGGCTTTAATAAAATAAATTTCACAACCATTCTACATGAACATGTTTTGTGATAGAATTTAAAACAAGGGGATACATGTCAATTTTTCATTTGACAGTTAGAAAAAAAGTAGCCAGACAAGGGCTGCCACACAACACCTGTTGGAGTAGCTTTATTTTTCTGAAACCACATTTTCTTCTAAAAAAAAGTTTGTACCTGTCTTGATTCAGTCTAGGGTTCAAAACTTGAATTCTAAAGTTGCTCGTAAGTTCATCCCCATGTGTCATGATTATGGTAAGTTAGAACACATAAGATCTAGGTGTCACAAACTCTTGAGTATGACCAACTCTGTATCTACCTCTAACAAACTTAAGAGTGCACGAGTCTGAGGACAGAAAAAATTTCTACAATTTAAGTTTCCTTCACTCGATGCACAAAATTTTAAACTTAGAGCAGCTCCTAGATTTATTCCCACATGTCATAACTGTGGTGACTAGGACAATAAGACCTAAGTGTTTAAGCCCTTGATTAGAAACAACAAACAAGAACTAACTACTCATGTTAGATTCTAGAGTAATCAAGTGAGTCACTTGACAGAATTGATAACTCAATTGACTAAAATTACATATTCTTCTAAAAAGATTTAGGTGAAAAAGAGTGAACTCACAAGTGATGATATTCATTGTGATATTTCTTGCGTTGTTCTTCATGATAAGATCGTTTGTGTGCCTCATTGATTAAATGTTTAGGTATATACATCTGTATTATTCATAATATCTTTATATTCATGCATGCACCAACATTCATTGTATATTAGTTGCTTTTTGCATTATCCTTTTCTTTTAAAATGAAAAAAAAAAATCAATATAAAAATTGAAAAAGGAAAAAGAATTTTTGATCATTATAACAAGTGATATCATTTGACATGTTATTTTGTGATTAATTACTACTAAATTTGATGTATAGTGAATAGAGTTTTCATTAACTTTGTATAGAAATTTTTTGGAGTACTTAGTATATATTATTATATTTATCATCTACATTGCACATATTAAGCTCTTGTGAGTGGATTTTGACCGCTTATGAGACTTGGGGTGTCTATTATTTGTGTGATGGGTTGGCTTTGAATATGAAATGATCTTTAACTAGTTGATCTAAACTCTTTTATATTTCCCATAAAAAAGGATTCAAAAGAATTGAATTATTGTGATATATCTTATACTTATCTTCGTAGCATTTTTTACCCAAGCAATTAAGCATGTTGGATATTTCAAAACCTAATGCCCTATAGTCATTTGACTTTGGAGACAACGATCTAAAAGCCGTTACAAGGGATCATTAAGTATACTTAGGGTCCGTTTGATTG